TTCTCGTTCTTCTAACTCGTCGCTGTTGAGGCTGGTAGCGTCCGATAAACCCAACAAATGTTCAACGGAATCGAATTTTTGAAGGTCAGAAGCGATGGTTTGAAGACTGAGAAGAGAAAGTGTGTCAGTTGGTGGACATTCTGCTCCTAAATGTGTCCCTCCTGTCACCTCCACCTCGGTAGGGACATGTTGAGGACTTGCTTCAGCTCCCACCGGTGAAGCTCGGCGAACGATGAGCCGTTGAAGACGTCGAGCGTGGATTTGTTCGCTGATTTGTTCTAAATTCCGTAAAGCCACCGAATAACGAGTCTTGGCTTGAGAAACCAACTTCTCCAACGTCGTCACCTTGGCTTTGTGCTCCTGGAGGAGATGGCATTGGTCACTAGAGTCATCTCAATGGCCCAACGTCCCTTATTTGAAGACCCCACCAGCTTTTGTTTTTACTCCTCCCAACTCCATCCCCAAAACTGGTAGAAAACAACCGGTTCCTCCTCAAAAATGGCATCTCCACAACCTTCACCAGCTCGAGGTGTCCCACCAACAAACAGCAGGACCATGTCCACCCCCACCAGCTTTCTTTTTAACTCCTCCCAACTCCATCCCCAAAACTGGTAGAAAACAACCGGTTCCTCCTCAAAACTGGGATCTCCACAACCTTCACCAGCTCGAGGTGTCCCACCATAAACAGCACGACCATGTCCACCCCCACCAGTACCTCCAGGATCTGGTTGAACTGGGCTTTCAGCTCAAAATAAGGTTTGCTCTTGACAATGACGCGCTTGAGGGACTTCTGGAGAGCTTGGACCTTGGCCTCGGCTTGTTGACACAGTTGGGTCACGCGTTGGTGCTCCCTCTCGCTCCGTAGACGTTCTTCTTCTGCTTCGTTGACCTGAGGACACCACAAAACCTCTTCAGAAAGAGTCTCCACTATCCAAATCATCTCCAACCCTCCAAATCATCTCCAACCACCTCGTCTCAACCTTCATCCCACCCATCCTGAGGATGAAGAACCCTCAACTATCCCACGTACTTTACAAGTAGCGTGGTTGAGCATCTCCTGCCAGGTGGGATCCAAACGGTTCTTGTCAGCCATGACACCTTGTTCCGCCACAAAGACCATCTCCCGGGCGGCGTTGTGCATGCTGACCGCTCGCTCGTACCTCAACGCCGCCTTCTGAGTCTCCTGCTGAGCCTGGATGAAGAAAGAAGTGACAACACCCAAGGAGAAGATGGGATGATGGTCAACTGTCTTCTCTTCAACAAGATCAAGCGTCAGGTCCTACACTTGGGTCACAAGAACTTCAAGAGGTTGGAAAGATGGTTGGTGGAAAAAAGGACCTGGTGGTGGTGGTTGATGGTGGATGAACATGAGTTAGTAGAGTGCTCAGGGGGTCAAGAAGGTCAAGGACATCCTGGCCTGGATTAGAAATAAGGTGGCCAGTAGGACCAGGGTAGTGATGGTCCCCCTGGACTGGGCACTGGTGAGGCCACAACTCAAGTGTTGGGTTCAGTTTTGGGTCTCTCACACCAAGAAGGACATGGAGGTGGTGGAGCGTGTCCAGAGAAGGGCAATGGAGGTGGAGAAGGGTCTGGAGAACAAGGAGAAGGGTCTGGAGAACTTAGGAGAAGGGTCAACAAGGAGAAGGGTCTGGAGAACTTAGGAGAAGGGTCAACAAGGAGAAGGGTCTGGAGAACTTGTGAGAAGGGTCTGGAGAACTTGTGAGAAGGGTCAACAAGGAGAAGGGTCTGGAGAACAAGGAGAAGGGTCTGGAGAACTTATGAAGAGCAGCTGAGGGAACTGGGGTTGGTTAGTCTGGAGGAGACTGAGAGGAGACCTTCTGGCTCTCTACGATGACCTGAAAGGTGGGCGTAGAGTGATGGGTGTTGGTCTCTTCTCTCAAGTGACAGGACAAGAGGAAATGGCTTCAGGTGGCTCCAGAAGACATTTAAGATTGGAGATGAAGAAAAACTTCTCCACCAAAAAGGTCACCAAGCATTGGAACAAGGTTCCCTAGTGAAGTGGTGGAGTCACCATCCATCCCTGGAGATGTTGGGCTGATGGTGTTTGATGGTTGAACTTGATGATCTTGAAGATCTTTTCCAAACTTCATGATTCTATGGAAATAAAGACCCTCCCCACCCATTTTTCTGGACCCTTGGGAGATGTTGGTACCTCCTTGGCGAGACGTCGAGCTTCATAGTATGGTCGAGCTTTCTCGATGCAGTTGCCCAACTGAGAACCTTGGGCGTTGAGTTTCCGGGCAGACTCGGAGAGGATCCGGCGATAAGCGGTTCGAGCTTCCTGGAGAAGGAGGAAAAGAGGAGAAGAGGAGAAGAGGAGAAGGAGAAGGTGAAGGAGAAGGTGAAGGAGAAGGTGAAGGAGAAGTTCATCCCAGTGTCCTCTGGTTCCTCCTCAAAGCCAAGCAGATCCCTCAACAATGAGGTTTTTCCCACCCAATCAGCTCACCAAGGTCCAAATCCACCAGGGAATTGGATAAAGGTGACCAGTT